AAGCCTTGCTGTACTGATTTTCAGCTTTGGGTTCCCATTCCAGGTACAGTATGTGATTCAAGGATATCACAAAAGGAGAGAGTACATCGCTGCTTTTCTTAGTCACTTTGGCACGTAAGTTCTCCCTTGTTTATACTACACACCAACAGTATACTTGCTTCTCACATGTGGGAATGTCGCACCTTCTCTGTGACATTCTGGCTTCGGTGCTTACCCTAGAGCTGCCAGGAGAACTTAGCTTTTAGCATTCTTAAGCAAATAATAGAAACACAGCAATCAGGGTAGTGTCCCTAAATGGGTGTCAAGCCTGCTTCTTGTGGAACTTTGGGTGGCTTGAACTGCACTTCATCTCCGTTGTCTTCTAGTTGTCTGGAGGTGACCAACAGGGCTCTTGCTTTTCTATGTATTTTAAAATTAGTTTTTAAGTTAACATATGGGTTTCATTATGGCATTTTCCATATTCACATTACTCTACATTGTTCTTACTCCTCCTCTAAGTGCCCTCCCCAGACCCCCTGACTCCTGTTGTTTGCCCTTCTTCCTCCCAAATAGAATGCCGATTTTCACACGTGTCGATTCTGACACGTGTGCTGATTAACACGCATGGCGATTCCGACATGCATGCAGATTCTGACATGCGTGATCCTCTACACGCATGGCGATTCTGGCACGCGTGCCGATCCTGACACATGTGCGTTTCTCTGTGCGCGTGCCTATTCCGACACGTGTTCTTTTTTTACACACATGCTGATTCTCACACGCGTGTCGATTCTGACACATGTGGCGTGTGCCGATTCTGACACGCATGTCTATACTGGCACGCATGTCACGCATGTCGATTCTGACACACGGGCGCCTCTACTCGCGTGTCGGTTTTGGTTCACGTGTCGATCATGGCACGTGCGCTTTTTTCTGTGCACGGGCCGATTTCCGACACATGCGCTCTTTTCTGCACACGTGCCGATTCTGACACACTGTCATTTCCGTGTTATTTTCAGCACGCGTGTCGATTCTGACACGTGTGTCATTTCCGACACATGCGTTATTTCTCGGCATGTGTGCCAATTCTGACGCTGTCGTTTCCGTGTTATTTTCGGCGCGTGTGTCGGTTCTGACACGCGTGTCATTTCGGGCACTGTTGTTTTTTGCACACGTGTTGGTTCTGACACGCGTGTCAACGTGTGTTGTTTTCAGCACGCATGTCATTTCAGACACATGTGCTATTTTGGCACGCTGCTGATTTCTGCACGCGTGTTATTTTTCGGCACGCATGTCATTTCAGGCACGTGTATCGTTTTCAGCATGCATGTCATTTCCAGGCACATGTGTTATTTTCGGCACGCGTGCCAATTTCTGACACGCGTGTTATTTTCAGCACGTGTCATTTTCGGACGCATGTGTGCCGATCCTGACACGCGTGTCGATTCTGACACGCTGCCAGTTGCCGGCCCTGACACGCGTGTCGATTCTGATACATGTGTGTTGTTTTTCGGCACGTGTGTCATTTCAGGCACGTGTGTTATTTTTGACACGTGTGTCGATTCTGACATGCTGCCATTTCCTCCGCATGCGTTATTTTCGTCTCGTGTGCTGGTTCTGACACGCGTGTCAATTTCCGACACATGTGTTATTTTCAGCACGCGTGCCGTGTTAGTCCTGGCACGCATGTCGATTCTGACACACGAGTGTGGTTTTTGTTCACGTGTCAATCATGACACGTGTGTTTTTTCTGTGTGCGTGCCAGTTCCGACATGTGTTCTTTTCAACACGCGTGTCGATTTTCCGACACATGTGTTCTTTTTCAACACGCGTGCCGATTCTGGCATATGTGTTCTTTCCAACACGCTGTCATTTTCGGCACATGTGTTGTTTTCGGCACGCGTGCTGGTTCTGACACGTGTGTCAATTTCCGACACATGTGTTATTTTCAGCACGCGTGCCGTGTTGGTCCTGGCACTCATGTCGATTCTGACACACGAGTGTGGTTTTTGTTCATGTGTCAAATCATGACACGTGTGCTTTTTTCTGTGCGCGTGCCGATTCCGACACGTGTTCTTTTCAACACGCGTGTCGATTTTCCGACACATGTGTTCTTTTCAACACGCGTGCCCGCGTGTTGATTCCGGCACATGTGTTCTTTTCGGCACACGTGTCGATTCTGACACGTGTTCCTTTCTACACGCATGCCGATTCTGGCACACGTGTTGATTTCTGCCGCGTGTGTTTTTTTCTGCACATGTGCCCATTAAGACACGCATGTCTATTTGGACACGCGGGGCAAGCGCCTGTGCGGGTGTTGGTTCTGACACGCATGCCAATTCTGACACGTGTGTTTTTCTGCGTGCGTGCATCTCTACACGCATGTCGATTCTGACACGTGTGCAGATTCTGGCTCGTGTGCCAATTTTGACGTGCAAGCGCCTCTTCACGCATGTCGATTCCAGTACGATCCCAATTATCTTGTCAGTATCACCATTATTTGGTCCCTGGATAAAGTGATGCTTAAGCTCACTGTTCAGATAGTCAGACGGCGCTTGGTACTGTAATGTCATCTGTGACCAGGTTTCATGTTAAATTTTGTTTCATTTTGAGACAGGGTCTTACTCTGTAGCCCAGCCTGGAAGCAGCGATGCAGACCAGGCTGGCCTCAAACTCACAGAGATCCAAAGGTCCACCTGGCCCTGCCTCCCTAGTGCTGGGATAAAAGACCTGTGACATCATGCCCAGCTGATTGGTTTCTTAGATTGTCTCTTTACTCATAACTGATGACTGATGTTTCCATTTTGTGGTTTATCCTCATTGTTTTTTGCAATTCTTTTAAAAAGTTTACCGATATCATAATTTCCTGCTGATGAGGAAGCTAAGTCTCCACAGGTTAAGAGATTTGAG